GTCGCCAACCGCATTAGGAGCAACAAGGATCGTATGATGAAACTAGATATACCGTATTACCCCAGATATAGGCGCATATGCGCTTATAATAATATCGTTTTTTTTTTTTGTGGCGCTTGTAATTGAATTACAGCCATAAGCGCCGGCGCTTATATAATGACAAATACAGAAATACAACTTAAATGCATCAAATTGTACATTTCAGTCTTGTAATTTTGATCGAGTCGAAATTTATAGCGTCCTGAATCAGAATCGCGTGAGGGCGATTCTCTGACGCTGCACATAGCTTTTGGCACGTTAATTTGCTTGTGTGCCACCTCATCCTGACTAGACGCGAAACCAGTCAGGAACTCGAAAGTCAAACAAAGTGGAAAATGGGTGCTGAGTCGCTTGAAATCTGAATTTTGCTACCATTTTAATCAGGATTGAAAAGTAACATTATGCAAGCGCTTATAATAAATCATGGTTTTACATGGGGGGTGCTTATAATCAAGTTCCCGCCATAGGCGCCATGCTCCAGATAGAGGCGCCGGCGCCTTTAATCGGACGGCGCCTATATCCGGGGCCATACGGTATGCTGTGGAGAATTAAGAACATTGGTGAATTTCAAGCCAAACATATCCCGCCGCGACTTCAATAATGCACTACACCGCCTCACAGGTCCTGCTATTGGTGGCAGAGGAGCTCCTATAATTCCTGAAGCGCGCTGGATTGGGCTGAATGAAAATTTGAGCACAGGTGTGCACGATTGGACTTCGATTCAACCCCTGAATGGTGAGCGCAGCTGTGGTATTAATCGACGACCTTCCTCAGAATCTATCAATCAGCCAGCTTCCCTTGCTAGCCACTTTCAAACAACCGCATAAGTGAACCCGTCTACTTTGCGAACTTTGTCAGAATGCTGTTGGGGTTACTCCTCGTGCTGGTCTTTTCTTGCGAATATCTGGGAAGCGAAGAAGCTCGGGGTACCATAATGACGACAGCCATCAATGTAAGACATGTTGACCCGGCCGTGAGGAAAACAAAGGTGAGACTTGCTTTCATAGTCACATCAGTGGCTTGAAGCCGTGAACGTTTGCGTCACATCACATCTGCGCCCATTTCTCTCCCTAATCGCACCTTCACTCGCACCGTCGCTTCTCTTGCCTGGGCTCTCTGGCGACACGGGCAGTTTCTTGCTTGATGCTCCACTTGTCAAACTATATCTGTGCTAGTTATGTGTAGGCTATAGTGGGGTAGCCCATATGGGGTACAACCCAATATTAGGGTTAGTACTTGTACCCACAATTCACCCAATGCAATCATTCTTACTAGTCTTTTCTGACATGGTTTCAGAGCAGTAGGTCCGTAGGACCGTTTTTTTTTTCGGGCCCACCTACCGTTGCGGTTACCGCGCTACCCCACGTAGCCTTGCCTGCGCTGCGCTGCCTGCGCGCGCCCTGCCTAGCCTCCGTGACGTGCTGCGCAGCGCGCGCCATCCTGCTGCCTTCGTGCTGCCTGCTGCTGCCCCGTGCGCCGCCCTCGCTGCTCGCGCACCGCCTCGGCAGCCCCGCGTTGCGCTGCCCTGCGCACGCCCTGCCCTGCCCCGCGTTGCGCTGCCCCGCGCACGCCCTGCCCTGTCCTGTGTTGCGCTGCCCCGCGCACGCCCTGCCCTGCCCCGCGTTGCGCTACTCCGCGCATGCCGTGCCCTGCCCCGCGTTGTGTTGCCCCGCGCACGTTCTGCCCTGCCTTGCGTCGCGCGCCCCGGCTGCCCGTCGCGCCGTGCACCCTTGCAGCCCGTCACACCGCCCGTCTGCCCTGCCTGTGCGGGCTGCCCCAGCCCGTCACGTCGCCCGTTCGCTCTGCCTGCCCGTCGCGTCGCCCGTACGGGCTGTCCCAGCCCGTCGCGTCGCCCGTCCGCCCTGCCTGCCTGTCGCGTCGCCCGTGCGGGCTGCCCCAGCCCGTCGCGTCGCCTGTCCGCCCTGCCTGCCCGTCGCGTCGCTGAGCTTGTTGACTTTGCTGCTGCCTGTCGTCTCGACTACGCCGCTAGTCTTGTTGCTGCGTCTGAGTCTGTCTGTCCTCCGTCCTTCGGGGGTGAGTGTGCTCTTGGCACGGGCGTCCTTGAGGACAGGCAGGAGGACCTTGAGTGTCTTGCAGCCGCTGCGCCTCATCTCGTGGCCATGCTGCTTGCCCCTGAGGGAGACCCGGATGCACCAGACATCCCGACCCCTCGCTCTGATGCCAAGGCGATTGCGGTTGAGTACTCCTCTCAGTGGCAGGCAGCCATGGACGCAGAGATGGCATCCTGGAAGTCCACAGGCACTTACGTCGATGAGGTTCCCCCTTCCTTGGGCAAACATCGTCGATGGCATGTGAATTTTCAGGGTGAAGCGGCCGCCGGGTTCTCTGCCTGTCTTCAAGGCTCGTTACGTTGCTAGAGGCTTCAGTCAGCGTGAGGGAGTTGACTTCTTCCAGACCTTCTCCCACACCCCAAAGATGACCACTCTTCGGGTGCTGCTGCACGTTGCCGCTCATCGTGACTACGAGCTTCACTCTCTTGACTTCAGCACAGCCTTCTTACAGGGCAGCCTGCACGAGGAGATCTGGCTGCGCCGCCCACCTGGCTTCACTGGGTCGTTTCCTCCTGGTACCCAATGGAGCCTCCGGCGGCCAGTCTACGGTCTCCGCCAGGTGCCTCGTGAGTGGCACGACACACTGATGACTACAATTGCGGCTCTTGGATTTACTCCTTCGACAGCTGACCCGTCGCTGTTTCTGCGCACCGACACTTCGCTGCCGCCGTTCTACATCCTCGTGTACGTCGACGACTTGGTCTTTGCCACTGCTAACACTGAGGCTCTCGCCTTGGTGAAGTCGGAGCTACAGAAGAGACACACGTGCACTGACCAAGGCACTTCCGTCTGGTGATCATCAGTGCTTTTGTACTTTGTTAGGCCTTGTGCCTACGTTTCCTCACTTGCTGTAGACTTTCGTTGTACTGTGATCTATATTATATACCTGCATGCTTGTTGTTGCTAGGTAGTGATCACTGTACAGTTGTTGTTGCATATATACCTCTGCATGTGAACTAGCCTTGTGGCCCTTTGCTTGTGCTCGGAGTGTGTGGTGACGTTGTGATCCACCCTGAGCTTGCTTTGCTTTTCTTGACTTGTCTCATGACCCCTTGTTCTCCCCCAGTTTGCCTATGGGGGTGTGTCAAACTATATCTGTGCTAGTTATGTGTAGGCTATAGTGGGGTAGCCCATATGGGGTACAACCCAATATTAGGGTGAATTCTTGTACCCACAATTCACCGAATGCAATCATTCCTGCTAGTCTATTCTGACACCACTACCACGCAAACTATAGGAGCAGGGGCATGAGAATAAGAAGACGTGGCAGAACCAGGAGTAGGCGTTAACGAATATGAAGACGCGAAGCTTACGGAGAACAAGAGGCAGCAAAAGCGGACAGGAAATAAGTGGGAGTGGCAACAACTGCAAAAGAAGCAGCAGCCCAGGACGCTGTTGAAGCTGCAGCAGGGGACGGAGCAGGCGAAGCAGGGGACGGAGCAGCATGAGCATGGGATGGAGCAGCAGCATCAGCAGCAAGGGACGGAGCAGGCACAACAGGGGGCGAAGCAAATGCAGCAGGGGGCGGAGCAGGTGCAACAGGGTTCGGAGCAGCTGCAGCAGGGGGCGGAGCAGCCGTAGCAGGGGGCGGAGCAGCCGTAGCAGGGGGCGGGGCTGCCGCAGCATTGGGCGGAGCAGCCGCAGCATTGGGTGGAGCAGCGACAGCATGGGGCGGAGCAGCCGCAGCACGGGGCGGAGCAGCCGCAGCACGGGGCGGAGAAGGCACAGCAGGGGGCGGAGCAGGCGCAGCAGGGGGCAGAGCAGGCACAGCAGGAGGCGGAGTGTCAACGGGAGTTGTGTTTGGCCCCGTCCTCGCTTGGGCGGAGCCGACCTCGTGGTCGGTTGTGCGGGGGGGATGCAGCCGACCTGCAGCAGTGGGCACGGGGGCCACTGCAAGGGCGTGGAGCTGGTGGGCGTCTGGTTGAAGGGCGCCGAGCAGGTGGACGCCGACCAGGGCGTCTGCCCAGTGTCCTGGGGGCCTGGACGCCAACCAGAGCGTCTGCATGGCGTCCTGGGCGCCTGCTCGGCGTCCTGGAAGGTTGGACGCCGAGCTGGGAGTCTGCTCGGTGTCCCGCGCACCTGGACGCCGACCTGGGCGCCTGCTTGGCGTCCTGAGCGTCTGGACGCCGGCTTGGACGCCTGGACGGCGTCCTGGGCGAGTGGACGCCGTCCTGGACGCCAGGACGCCGACCTGGGGACGCCGGGCTTGGCGTAGCCGGCGTCCGACTGGGCTGGACGACCAGGCGGGGTTGCCCGGTCGACCGGGATACCCGGGCGACGTGTGCGAAGGTCGCCGGGGGAGACTTCTGCGAGGACGACCTCGGGGATGGTATCCCGAGGTCGACGTGGCTGATGGGCGCCGTCACGGGCGGGAATGTCTGCGCTGGGCACGTGACGGGGAGTTGGACGCCAACCAGCCGCGCACACCTGCGAAGCAGGTGCACCGTTGTCCTGCGGGTGCAACGCTGTGCAGCCGACTTGCTGCAGCGTTGGCACACCGTGGACTTGCAACGTTGGCACGCCGCATCTATGCAGCGCTGGAGCGGTGCGAGCATTGCTGCGCTGGAGCGCGGTCGACCGTGCTGCGCTGGAGGTTGACCAGCAGCCAAGCTAGCTCTGATGTAGTCTGTGTTGCCAATGTTGTTGCTATCATTCTGAATCATTGTTGTCAATCTTTGCTAGTGAAACTCTTGCAAAATCTCCCCGTGAATGTGCAAGCAGAGAACACACGAGCAAACGACTAAGTGAATGATCGCGGAGATCACTCTCATCTGCAACTCTCTGTGCTCTGCTGGTAGAGGGCTACGTGTTGGTAGGCAGCTCCCGACCCTTGCCGGTTGGGGGCGCTCACTCACTCCACTCCACGGCCTTGCTGCAAGAGCTGATGCGATGCGGGTACGTAACGCTGGTGGTGCAGCCACTCAAACAGTGGTGGAGGGCTATGTGTTGGGGGGCAGCTCTTGCTTCATGCCAACGGGGGGCGCCTACTCTACTGCCTTGGTGCAACAGCTCATGCCGGTCATGTCCCACTCTCTATTCTCATGCTTCTACATCTCTCTGTTGGTACACGGCTGGTTGTGTGTTGGGGGGGCGCTCACTCTAGAGCCTTCATGCAAGCTCATGCCTTCATGCAAGCTCATGCCTTCATGCAAGTTCATGCCCTCATGCATGCTCATGCCTTCATGCAAGCTCATGCCTTCATGCGAGCTCATGCCTTCATGCGAGCTCATGCCTTCATGCGAGCTCATGCCTTCATGCGAGCTCATGCCTTCATGCGAGCTCATGCCTTCATGCAAGCTCATGCCTTCATGCGAGCTCATGCCTTCATGCGAGCTCATGGCTTCATGCGAGCTCATGCCTTCATGCGAGCTCATGCCTTCATGCGAGCTCATGCCTTCATGCAAGCTCATGCCTTCATGCAAGCTCACGCCCTCATGCAAGCTCAAGCCTTCATGCAAGCTCAAGCCTTCATGCAAGCTCAAGCCTTCATGCAAGCTCATGCCTTCGTGCAAGCTCATGCCTTCATGCAAGCTCATGCCTTCATGCAAGCTCATGCCTTCATGCAAGCTCATGCCTTCATGCAAGCTCATGCCTTCATGCGAGCTCATGCCTTCATGCAAGCTCGTGCCTTCATGGAAGCTCGTGCCGGGTCAAGCTCGTTCTGATGCCGCCACAGGTCTATCTGGTTCGTCTTCTTTCAAATCAAACACGCAGAACATGGTATATTTCTATGTGCTATGAGATTTGGTGGTGTTGTATTGGTGTTACTCTTGATGGATTGTGATGGGGGGTGGCTCTTGTTTTGTTTGCTCTTGCAAGCACCGTTCCTCGGAGGGTTGCTTACATTTCTTATTTAATTACTCCATGGTCACCCCTTAGTTCATGTGTGATTGCATGGTAAATGGTTATTCACAGGCTCATGCACTATCCCATACCCTACCCCATGTCCTATCCCATGCCTTACCCCATGTTCTATCCCATGCCCTATCCCATCCGCTTTCCCTTGTTCAATCCATGCCCAATCCCATCCCCTATTCCATGCCCTACCACGTGCCTGATCCCATGCCCCGATTTTATGCCCTATGCCATGCCCTACCCCATGCCCTATCCCATGCCCTACCTACCCCATGCCCTACCCCGTGCCCTACCCCATGCCCTACCCCATGCCCTACCCCATGCCCTATCCAATGCCCTACCCCATGCCCTACCCCATGCACTACCCCATGCCCTACCCCATGCCCTACCCCATGCCCTACCCCATGCTCTACCCCATGCTGTACCCCATTCCAATATCAGGACCGAGGGGAGCCGGTACCAGCAGAGGAGGCGATTGAAGTGGCAAGAAAAGTGAAGGAGACTTATGGATACACATGTCAAGGTGCAGCTATGGATGTTTGAAGGAAAGAGAAGGAGAGAGAAGGAGAGAGAAGGAGAGAGAAGAAGAGGGAAGGAGAGAGAAGGAGAGGGAAGGAGAGGGAAGGAGAGGGAAGGAGAGAGAAGGAGAGGGAAGGAGAGGGAAGGAGAGAGAAGGAGAGGGAAGGAGAGAGAAGGAGAGGGAAGGAGAGAGAAGGAGAGGAAAGGAGAGAGGAGGAGAGGGAAGGAGAGAGAAGGATAGGGAAGGAGAGGGAAGGAGAGGAAGAGAGAGAGAGGAGAGGAAGGAGAGAGAAGGAGAGGGAAGGAGAGGGAAGGAGAGAGGAGAGGGAGAGGGAGAGGAGAGGAAGGAGAGGAAGGAGAGAGAGAGAGGAGAGGGAAGAGAGGGAAGGAGAGGAGAGAAGGAGAGGGAAGGCGAGGGAAGGGACGTATGGGTACACATGCTCTGATCTTGTCAAGCTACCTCCAGTCTGTAAACATGCAAACATGCAAACACGCACACATGCAAACATGCAAACATGCACACATGCACACATGCAAACATGCACACATGTAAACATGCAAACATGCATTCACTCTTGCAAGACTCCACATGCAAACATGCCAGCATGCACAAGTGCTCCAATCTCATGTGTGTGCATGATTGTGTACAGGTACCCGTGTGTGCATGATTGTGTGCAGGTACCCTTGTGCATGATTGTGTTGCCAGGTGTGGCCGCCCACCAACGCAACTTCATGTGGCCCTATCCCCTCATCCCCCTCCTCTTTCTCCCTTTCTCCGTGCCCCCAGGAGTTCACCAAGCACGACAGGGAGCCTAATAAGTACCGCAAGGTCTGGACTGCCACCAACGCGTGCACCAACACGCCCTACCGCTGCGACGTGGGGCACGAGCGGTTTCTGGCTGCCGAGGTGTGTGCGGTGCGGGGAAACACAAGTGTGTAGGGCTTAGGGGCATGGTTGGCCTTATTGCTGCGATGTGGAGCACGAGCGGTTCCTGGATGCTGAGGTGAGTGAGGGGATGCACGTAAGTATTGAAGGGTTTAGGGTTTCGGGGTTCTAGGGGTTCCCACCAACACGCCCTACCGCTGCGACGTGGGGCACGAGCGGTTCCTGGCGGCTAAGTGGAGGCGGTGTGCTTCGGGGTGTGAGGTTATATGAGGTGCTCGTTGCACCAACACGCCCTCTCGCTGCAATGCGGGGCACGAGCAGTTCCTGGCGGCGGAGGAGAGTTAGGGAATCTTTGTTGAAGTTGGGGTTTTGGTTCTTTGAGGTTTTAGTTCAATGGTCAGCCAGCCAGCAGTGCTCCAGTGCTCTTCTTCTCTTTTGAAATCAGCGCACACCCAAGCCGACTACTGGCAGAGCAGGTGCATGCAGCAGCAGTACAATTGTTTATGACTGCCCCTCTCCACCCCTCTTTGCTCTTCCTGTTCACCGTTTCTCCCCATGTAGGTGCGCCGCTTCTCCCCTTGTTGTTCCTCTATGTGTCTTGGCATATCAACTACGCCTTCTGCTTCCTCCCTCCCTCCCTCCCTCCCTCCCTCCCTCCCTCCCTCCCTCCCTCCCTCCCTCCCTCCCTCCCTCCCTCCCTGCCTGCCTGCCTCCCTCCCTCCCTCCCTCCCTCCCTCCCTCCCTCCCTCCCTCCCTCCCTCCCTCCCTGCCTGCCTGCCTGCTCGCCCCCCGGCAGGTCTTTTTTGCGTCGGAGATAGCAGTGAGCAACGTGGGCACGTCACTGGCGGAGCTGGTGGATGCAGCGGTGCAGAAGGCCGCCATCGACACGCGCCGCTCGCTCTACAAGGTGAGGCTTGTGTGGGTGTGTGACCCAACGGGTGCTTCCTCTGCACTCACTGCCGTGGCACTGCCCCCTCCATCCCCCGCCTGTGCAGACCGCTGCCATCCGCACACGCCGCTCGCTCTACAAGGTGGCTGTTGTGTGGGTGTGGACGTCAAGGGGTGTGTGCGACAAGGGGCGTGTGCGACAAGGGGTGCTTCCTTGGGCGGAAGTCGAGGCGGCATTGTGCTGATAGGGGGATTCGTGAAATTCAGTTGCCTTCCTGATGGCTCGCCAGCTGCTCGTTACTTGCGTGTCCCTCCTGTGTGGCTCACCCTCCTGCACAGCGTCGTGCTGTCAGGCGGCTGCACCAGGTGCAACGGCTTTGACCGATCATGTTAGCCTACCCCCCTCATTCTCCCTTTGCCTCTCCTCTCCCACTCCCACAGAACGTCGTTGCTGTCATGCGCCTCCACCATGTGCGGTGCTTGCCCGATCATCATCCTTGCCCGATCAGCATCCTTGCCTGTGTGTAACAACTTTACTCCTCTTCTCGTCTCGCCTCCCTTCAACTCCCTCGAAACATTGTTTTCGCATGCGGATATACCATGTGCAAGGACTTTGACCGATCATTATGGCCAATCCCTCCCTTTGTCTATCTCTTCAACACCCTTTCTCTCCCTTCCCTTCCCTCTCTTCGACCCCCATAGAACACCCTTTCTCTCCCTTTCCTTTCTCTCCCTTTCCATCCTTTCAGGCGGGTCCACCCTGTTCAAGGACTTTGGGCGGCGGCAATTGCTTCTTCTCACCCTTGCCATACTCGCCTCATACCCTTGCCCCCATGTATCGCGGCATACCCTTGCCCCCATGTATCGCGGCATACCCTTGCCACCATGTATCGCGGCATACCCTTGCCCCCATGTATCGCGGCATGCCCGTGCCCGCATGTATGGCGGCATATCCTTGCCCGCATGTATGGCGGCATATCCTTGCCCCGATGTGTCCCGCAGAACATTGTGCTGTCAGGCGGGTCCACACTCTTCAAGGACTTTGGGCGGCGCTTGCAGAGAGACGAGAAGAAAACAATCGAGGCCCACATGGCTGGGTCTAGCGAGGTGCGCTTGTAGCAACGAGGTGTGCTTCTAGTGGGATGTTCTTCTAGTGGGATGTGCTTCTAGTGGGGTGTGCAGACAGTGAGGTGTTGTCATCATGTTATCTGCGAGAGATGTGAAGAAAATCATCGAGGCGCACATGGCTGGGTCTAGCGAGGTGCGCTTGTAGTGAGATGTGCTTTTTCTTTATTGTGCCTTTAATGGGGTGTGGTATAGTGAGGTGCTGCTATCATGTTGTAAGCGAGACGTGAAGGGAGTTGTTGGGGCCTCGCTGCCTGGATCTGCTTCTATTAGGGTGTGCTTAAAATGAAACATGCTGACGCGTAATGAGGTGTACTAATAAGGGTGTACTAATGCGCTTCTAGTGAGGTGTGCTTTTAGTGAGGTGGTGTAAGCAAGGCGTAAAGAAAGGTCAGGTTGGCTGGATCTGCTTTTAATGGGTTGTGCTTTGGTGAGGTGGTGCTATCACATTGTTAGCAAGGCGTGAGGAAAGGTCAGGTTGGCTGGATCTGCTTCTAATGAGGTGTGCTTCTCGTGAGACATGCTTACTGCGAGGGTGTATAATGTCGTGTGGTCACAGAGGTCACGGTGGCGTTTCACCATCTGCACAGGCACCAATTGCACCAACCATTGCTCCTTCCCTTCCCTGCCCCCCGCCTTCCCTCCACCAACCAGCCCAGCGCACCGGACATAGAGGTCACAGTGGCGTGCTACCATTTGCAGGAGCATGCTGTGCGGTTTGGTCAGCAGCTCACTTCTCTGCCTTTTCTATCGTGTATTCCCCTCATGCCCCGTCACTGCCCCCCCATCCCGTACAGCCCAAGGCATCGGACATAGAGGTGCCAGTCGTCTCACACCATCTGCAGGAGCATGCCATGTGGTTTTGGGGCTCTGTTGTTGCCTCATGCTTCTTGATTATTGTTTATCCCCCGCACCTGCTCCTCACTTACAGCCCAAGGCATCGGACATAGAGGTGACAGTGGTGTCTCACCATCTGCAGGAGCATGCCGTGTGGTTGGGGGCTCTGTTGTCGCCTCCTCCCCAGGTCTCTAAGGGGTAAGCTCTGTGTCTAATAGTCCAAGAGGTAAGCCCTGTGTCTAATAGTCCAAGGGGTAAGCCCTGTGTCTAATAGTCCAAGGGGTAAACCCTGTGTCTAATAGTCCGGTGTGTTTAGTTGTCGCCTCGTCGCCTGTTTTCCAAGGAGTGAGCAGCAGTACCCTGTTTCATATTGTTCTTTGCCGTAACTGCTGTTCTTTCGACTCACTCAACCTTTCCACGATGACAAGAGGTTGACCGACAGCAGCACAAATTGTCTTTGCATTGGTTCCTGTGTAAGTTCCACCTGTTGTCAGCCTTTTCTCTATTTGTCACCTCTCTCTGTGCATCCTGCACCACATATGCATTACACGAGCTGCTTACTGTATTGTGTGATGCTATCTTTCACAATCACGTCTGTCTGCCTCCCATCATGTGTTTGTGCGTTGCATGCGTGGTGTGAGCGTGTGCAAGAATTGTGTTTTGTGCGGTTTAGATTTTCTGAGTGTGTGTGAATGTTATTTGAATTGGGCAGATATCTGAAGTGATTCATCTGCTCAAGAGCTTTCCGACGAACCAAGAATCGTCGCGATCGGAGCAATATCAAGAAAGTTACGAACGTTGGAGTTCGTATGCTTTCTGTACTTTGGTTGCGGCGACTATGGGAAGTTGTGGGGTTGACTCAATATGGGGTATAGACTTTTGGGGTTGGGAAATTCGAACCCATCACTGTAGAATGCTGCCATGTGGTTGGGAGAAGCCAAACCAGGTTGGCAAGTGTGGCCAAGTGGGTTGAGGTGGATGGCATGAGTTGGGAAAGTGACAAATGTGAAAGTGGGGTTGCCTATGGAGAGGGGAATTGTGTGGCATGGGGTTTCCTTGGTTGGGAACTCCCTTGGGACCTTCCCTCTCGTCCTCCTCATCCCCTCCTACCTGGTTTAGTGCTACTCCAACTCTTATGTGTGTTACTTGTGAACTTGTGAGTCAATTGTGATTGAGTTAAAATTTCTGTGGCATCATACCCCCTTGTACGCCGAAACGCATAACTCACGATTTAGTTCACCATTTGACGTGATTCAACTTGGGATTTGTTGCCACGGTCTAGAGCTACAACATACTCGGTTTTCGTGAGATTTAACGGTGAACTTTTCGGTGACAACGTTTCTTGTGAAATCGCGGTTTCTGTCCAGAATTTGAAGCCAACGATTTTGAGTTATTTCGGCACCTATTCTTCATAGACTCGGTCCTTAGTCTCTAACAAGTGGTATCAGAGCGGATTGAGGACGTTGTGAAGAGTCTCCTGAACTGTGAAGACCCTCTTAGACCCACCATGGCCTGTGGGCGTGCCTAAGTGGAGTTCTAGAGGTTGCACGTGACTTCGGCTAAGGGGAAACTCTGCCGAAATTTCGTTGGCGCCGACACTTGTGGAAATTGCTTGAGACTTCGGTGTGGACAGCAAAGGGGGAGCTGAAACCTCTGATTGGGAGCAGAGGAGATGAGTGGAGAAGCAGCTGAGAAGAAGAGTGAACCGCCACCGTCCAAGATCGAAGCGTTGGACGGCTCCAACTATGAGGAATGGAGCGGGCGGATGCGGAGCGCCTTCAAGCGCTACAAGCTGCTGAAATTGGCTATGGGAGAAGAGAAGATGCCGG